TTTTTTCATTCAACAACTCCAAATAAGAATTTTTTTCATTACAAAGCTTATTAACATGTACTTTTAAGAAATGATCTTGAGCCCCTAATTAGTAATTACATTTCTTAACAAGAAGCTGACAAATCTGTTGACCTAATAAAAATACTCTTTACCTTGGTTGTGGTGTTAGTGGTTGTGGTTACCTGACTAGTTAAAGCTTTTCAAAATTCATAAATGATGCTTGCCCTTTAAACAAAACTTTCAATCAATCCTCTTACTTTAGACCCACCCACAGCCCTCCCAAGATACTTCTAAAGGTAACCTGGGTGCATTTCCTGAACCTATAAAGGTTCCATGATCATTTCAGGTTAGTTCCGTATTCTGCATGTTTGTTCTCTTAGTATTCGACCCTCTCAGGTTGGCTACACTACTTTTTATTCCACCATCTGCTTTCTAGCTTCAAAATGACTGTTGCTGTTCTTTCCTCTCCCCTCCTCCCTGTCCTGAGTTTATGCCTTCTTTCTGTCACGTTGCTGTCACTTTGGTGGGAGTTCAGAAAGGAGTAAAGGAGTAACAGGTGTACTCAATCTTCTATTTTAAGTCAGAAGTCTATAATAAACGTTTTAATATCACTTACCCACTATTCTATCTATCCGACTTAAATGCCTCTTGTGTATGATGAACTGATTATGGGGGACTATAAGCATATATAAGGGTAACCTCTGCCTTCAATAAGCTGACAAACTGGTCAGAAGGTGTAGTAATTTGAATGTCATCTTACATATGCATGTTAAGTTTCTGTTACATTCAGACAGAGTACACTTACGGTGGATTGAAAAGTAAAACCCACACTCATAGGTAACACAGATCTCAAATGAAGTATAAAGTCATCCCTGGCTTCGATCACTAGGAAAGAGAAGGACCTCCAGTAAAAATCAGGAATTGAAAAGGAAGGGCCCTAGAAAACCAACAATGGAGACTCTGAGCTTCTTGCAAAGCCTTCGCCTTCAGGACAACTCTGGAAGACTCAAAATGTGTAGGTGGATTTTTCGAGTTGACATGGATCAAACAGTCACTTCCATATGAAAGCAAGCTGACGCACAGAAGGAAGGCATAGCTGCAGTGAATCACATGCTGAAGACACAGCCAGCTTTGGGAATCTGAGTAACTAGGACATGTAATGGTTCCTTTTTTATTATCTCCTAATTTCAGAGAGTCCTGTCAGGATGTTGTAATCCTGTGTCACCCACAACAATGACACACCCATGCAGGGCAGTGGTGAAGAGGAAATGGCAGCTGCCACAGCAGTGGGAGGTGGGAGAGACTGCCACCCCCTAGACGGTACGTCTTTCAAATGTTCTGTTGGAAGATGATCTTTCAGTGCCACCAACTTGGAAGGTTTTGAAGTTTAGTTTTTAAGGAAGAAAAGTATTCTTTTATTACAGAAGTACATATATATATACACTTATTGGTTATATGGCCTTGGTTTCCTCATCTGTAAAGTGAGAATAATCAATGTCTCAAAAGGCAGTGATGAGAATAAAACCAAATAATCCTGGTAATGCATTTACCACAATGTTTCACATATTATTTACTGCTTAAAAAAGATGAGTGTTAGCAGCTCCCAACAGGATCACTGTATCCCCTCCTCCTCCTATTACTGATGCTGTTGTTCTTACAAAGTAAGTACCAAACAGGTGCCTGGCAAGGAGGCAAAGCCCGCAATGAACTGCTGCGACAGGGAAAAGTTGCACAGAAAGAGCAAAATTTTGAGCTGGGATGTGAGTTTGAGAAGATGACTGTGTTAGGCAGGGGACTGTATCATGGAGCAAACAATGAAAGGGAAACTACAAGCTCTTTTGGATGTAAGAAATAGGTTTTTAGCCTCAGATTAATGCGACAATTTTCAAATATATATCTCTAAGTACAAATTTCAAGAAAAGCCAGTGAAACTTGAAGAATACCCAGGGAATTTGAAGTTACAAATTTTTTTAAAGTCCCTTTCTAACAAAGTAGTCTAAGTATGCACGTATTACAGAGAAAAACGTTCCGACCAGATTTAATATTTTGCTTATAATACAAATTACCTTCACAAGACACATCGAACTATCTTAATTTCTTCACCCACAAGATTTTAACTATTCCACAAAGCAACTTAATGCAACTAAAATCAAAGCAGGAGGTTTTAAATATTAAATGACAACCCCTAGTAGTAAGACAGGAGAAACTGGTTATCTGACAAATATTTAGTAATAAACTGTGCATGTTTAATTTGCAATGTAAATATATTTAGGTTAGTATATTACTTTTTGCCAATAAAAAGCTATAAAAGTAATATTTTATAGTAATAATAAGAGACCTTCAAGTGTCTTATTAATTTTACTATTAACTCTCAAGCATTTAGTTTTTACTAAAGACATTTGGGGCTGATTTTTTGTATTCTTCCTCTGCTGTTCCATAATTCTAATTATTATCCTAATCAACCACTTTCTTCCTAGCATGCCGATTCTTACAGATATAGCTGCTAAATATTTTGCTGGCTGAAAATGTAAGTTCAAACTATGACAATCAATCACATGCTTCTGGGATGGCTCATAGTCTCTTACCTGCACTTCTCAAGTTCGGGTCCAGCCCTGGCATCTCTTTGTTAGCTTCAGGGCTGACACTGTAGATCGATGCCCCTGCTTCACTGACGATACTGAGAAGACAGAAAAGGGGGAATATAATTTTCCAAACTTTCTGCCTGGTCAATGAAAATAAATGAGTAAGACGGGGGCATTACAAGAAAAAAAGCTGCTCTCTTTATATTTCAGTGGTACCTACAGCATTTAATCTTTGATAAACATAAAGTGATCAAGTAATGTTTGTGTTCTGTATGGAGTAAATACAAGTTTCTTTTTTTTTTTTTTTAGATTTATTTACTTTGGGGGGGGGGAGAGAGAGAAAGAGACAGCGAGCAGGGGAGAGGCAGAGAGAAGGGGAAAGACAGAATCCCAAGCAGGCTCCAAGGTGTCAGCGCAGAGACCACTGTGGGGCTCGAACCTGCAAACCATGAGATCATGACCTGAGTCGAAACCAAGAGTCAGATGCTTAAGTGACTGAGTCACCCAGGTGCCCCAGAAATATACAGGTTTAAATCCATAATGCATGAATTCGGTTGTTTTCTGTCTGTAGTAATCAAATATAGATCAACACAATGGATGCTCTCCCCTGATGCCAACTTTGAATTTCCAGAATAAATGGAGATTTTCTTTAAAATCCGTTGTTGACTGACACTTAATGGCTTCCAACTGAGTTAACCACTCTAAACCATCATGGAAAGCACATACACATGTGTGTGGATATGTGCACATGTGGATATATGTAAAAACCACTGCCATAAACACTGTCATCATTACTACTCAATTATAATGAATAACCACAATGTGAACAGGAAAGGGATCAGATGGGATATGATCCCACTTCTTGTCAGGAGAATCTAAAATCATCCTTTTAGTACACTTGAAGCCTCTGACTTCATGCAGGTGGCTAAATCATTTCCTTTCAGCATTTAATCAAAGCATCACACACATCATCCTCTTCCTTTCTTCTTTGCCTCCAAATACAAACCACTCTTTTACAGCTGACCTGTTTATGGTGGTTGACATCACTACAGCTCATTCAACATTTTATTGTTTTTTATTTTTTTAATGTTTTATTTATTTCTGAGAAAGAGAGAGAGGGAAAGACAGAGAGAGAGGGATGCAGCATGAGCAGGGGAGGGTCAGAGAGAGAGGGAGATGCAGAATCTGAAACAGGCTCCAGGCTCTGAGTTGGCCGTCAGCACAGAGCTCGACGTGGGGCTCAAACCCATGAACTGTGAGTTCATGACCTGAACCGAAGTTGAACGCTTAACTGACTGAGCCACCCACGCGCCCCTCAACATGTTAAAATCAGAGGTATTTTTTATGACAAAACATGAAAAGAAACATCATCTACCCTTAGAATTTACGAGACCTGTACCTCTCTGCCATACCATCTAGGTATCAAGACTCAAAACTAGAAACATGTTAGCCCTTAATTTTTAATCTACTCTTAGAAACTTCTTCCTTTCTCTGCTCCTCAATATTTATTTCAAGTCTGAGACAAGGTTAGTGGATAACTTTTAGCATACTGCCCCACTGTGAGAGCTGAGCACTAATAAAGTGTAAAAAAGTTAGTTTGCTACCCCTGTCTTTGAAAGAACTCTTGACTGAACTTTGACAACAATTATAAGCCACCAAGACTTGAGAGGATTACTTTGGGAAATATGAAGAATCATATTTTTTTGGCAACCAAGTCTATTGTCCTAAATTTCATAATAGGAAAAAACGAACATTCCGGGATTGAAAAGAAAGGCTGTTTATCCTGTTTCTCATCAATACTACCATCAGGATACAAAAAGAGGTAACTGAGTGCATATGACAAACTACAAAACCAACCACTGCCGAGACATTATCTCACTTAATGCTTTTATGGTGATGTTCTTTAACAGGTAAGTAATATGCCCAAGGTCATGTGGCTGGTAAACTACTGAGCTGGATTTGAACCCTAATCTGCTTGAAACCCAAGACTGAGCTCTTAACCAGCAGAAACACAAGTAACTTCTGAATAGCTTTACAACCCCTTATTAAAATGAAAACCCCCTATTTTTGTGCTAAACAATACATGTAATAATATCTTTTTAAGGAAGAACTATTTTCTTTTTGTTAACATTTTTTTAATGTTTATTCTTAAGAGACTGCGTGGGAGCACGCACATGTACACGTACACGTACACACACACACACACACACACACACACACACACACGTAAGCACGAGTGGGGGAGGGGCAGAGCGAGAGAGGGACACAGAATCCAAAGCAGGATCCAGGCTCTGAGCTGTCAGCACAGAGCCCAATGCGGAGCTCGAACCCACCAACCATGCGATCATGACCCGAGCCCGACTAAGGCACCCAGGAACCCCAAGAAGAACCATTTTCTTAAATAACAGATCCATAGGAGCACATTTCTCTCTTTCAATGCCTTCGCTTTCGATCAAAAGGTAAAATGGGTTTTCTTTTATGTGTCTAAGGTAGAACCTAAAGCATGGAGAAGGTCAAATATGTTCTATGATATCAGAGATGGACTTTAAAATTAAAAGGCAATTATGCTTTTTCTCCAAAATAAGCATTAGATTCTGCTTATCTTCTACTATGTAATGATCAAGGAGAAAATGCGAGGTCAAACAAAGCTTGAAGTGAACAAAACTCTTAGTGTGGCATACTAGGATGTTAGAAGTAACAAACTAGAAGGGACTTTTCAGCTCCATTATAGTGGTACTTCCTAACTGGGGGCCCTTGGTCTGCTAGGCAGGGAGAAACAGGATTAATAAAAACTGTATACAAAATATTTGCGCTAATGCACTTTTTTCCTAGGAAAAGGGATTACAGTTTTCTAGATTTCTAGAAAACTCCAAAAGAGGTTAGGAAGCATCATCACAGTATAAGAAGATCTAGTCACCAGTCATGGAAAATTTGGTTTCAAACACAAATCAACACTCAGTCTAACAAAGTTTTTTTTTTCTTTTTTTTCTAAAATAAATCTAGAGCGTCCGTGAAGTGCAGGCTGGACCTATTATTAAGGGAAAAGGATATTTTCTGAAATTTCACCACAAATTTATTTTCTATCATTTAAAGAAGGCTCCACAATTACCACTATTAAGTAAAGGGGACTGAAGTGGTAAATAAAAACTCCAATTAACTGTGGCCTTTAGCAGTCGGTACCTGAGAATTTGCTGGGTGATTCACTGTCTCTTGGAAGGTATAATTCTCAGTAGACTGAGGGAAACTGTTGCGAAGAAAAACACTCAGATAATAAATATTCCTCCAAATACCACACTGCCACTTCTTTTAAACAGAGGAATACAAAACAGATGTGACACTCTGCGCCGAAAGATTTTAGATTAACATTAATATTAAATCAATACAAAATGTAGTAAATTTCATATGCTTTAGTTATTAGATAGAATGAGTCCAAAAAACAGTTCAGGACTAAGCACAGATCAGAATGCTCCAATAATCTAAATGAACAGAAAAACCTCAACACTGATTTCTTCAATATAAAACACAGGAGGACCTAAGAAGTGTATGTGGCAAGGATTAAATGAAACAAATCAAGCTGGGAGTGGTGATGATTTTTTCCAGGAGAAGCTGAGAAGAACAAAAGTTATAACGACCCCACTTTCAAGGATAGACATTCAGAGGGCATGCTAGGTTTTATAAGCCACTTTCTGTTTATTGCAAGTTTCCCAATAAACTACTGGAAAAGTATTCCAATTATCTCTAATATATTTTGAGAAAAGCAAAAAGGAACTTTACATAAAATTCAGACAGCTCATGATTTAATAAATATTATATTCCATAAACCAAATTTCTCTCAGGTGTAAAGAAACTGGGCTCATAATCTTAGCAATTTGATTACTTTATTTATTTTGCCATAAAGCAGACAAGACTCTGAGCAGAATTTATTATTTGGGGGGAATTTAACTGACAGAATTGTAAATGAACTAAGGGTTCAATATTATTACAGTACTCTGAAGCTCCTTCAAATTGCTAGCACATATAAATACCTAAACATACATATATATATATATATATATATATATATATATATATATATGGCAGGTATCTCAAGCGTTAAAAATATGAAAGTACATTTCAGAAGCTACCACACTGGACTTAAATTTTACCAGATATATATGTTAATGTGCTAATGCTGTGTAATTAAATAGGTATTTTTAAAAACAATCAAATTCAGCATCATTTTAGGGTATCTTTTATTTAAAAATATACAAACCATACACTCAAAACTAAAATGTGAAATGCCCACAATATAGATGCATTTACTCTTAAATTCATTTTTTTAAATAAAAACTCTTTAAGTTAAATATGCTCAATTTTCTTATCTCAAGTAAGATTCAATGAAATTACATAAAGCTGACCGTTTATCAATGTAATTTGTTTTTGTTTTTAAAAACTAGGTTTAAACTACAGAATTTATAAGTACATTCTGCCAAAAGAGATTGTATGTTGATGAATCTTTTAAGACCCAGTTTGCAAGTAGTTTTCTTATAGTGACTATTTATTCTGACAATAAGAAAATGGCAATTTCTTTTACGAAATTGAGATGGGGATGGGGACTCCTTTCATGAGACAGGAGAACTAGTCATTTGTTTTTTTTAAGTTATTAGGCTAATAGTTTTCACATTCATTTACAAGGTTACATGACGTCTCCTCTCTTCTCCCCATTTCCCAAATTCGAAAATAGCTTTGTTTTCTTATTTTAAATCACATGCTTCCTTATGTTAACATGAGAATTTAATTCAAAAGTAATCTACTTAAATGAAAATGCAATTATTCAGGAAGATATCAAAATCAGCCAGGATATAATGCTTAAATTAATAAAAACTGATGTGTTTCTAATTCTTTTCAAAATACATTAGAATTCCTCAGACCTTATTGTGAGCTAACAGCTTTCATTTCTTCCTTCTGCCCACCAAAAAAAGGAGAAAACACATACACACACACACACGCACTAAATAACTACTACATTAAATGCATAGCTTATTTCGCTACAGTTTTTAAAAATAATTGATCTAAAAATGGTTCTTCCACATTTCAGACTGAGGAACATTCATATGGAGAGAGAGTAAATGGCCTGAGCTACGTTCCCCAACAAGAAATACAGAGTACTAAAAAAGTGAGGCAACACAGACCTGGATTCTGTGCTCTGCACACAAAATAACCTGTTCGAAAGTATGAAAGGATGGCTGTTGTGCTGTAGGGATAAGAGACAAGGCCCACACCAAAGCCCGTGAACACAGGGGGCTCTAGGATTTAATGGTTACAGTACAAAGCTTACTTCTAAGAAAATATCAAAGCAATTTTAGGTTCCTGTATTTAGTGATGAACTGCCATTTCAGGGAGTTCCAAATGAGCAATGTCTAGTCACTTTAAAAACTAGGGTAACCTGGTGATGATAAGGAAGCAAGGAAACAAGCAAAATCATAAACTGTTAACGACGTTTAAGCCGTAGGACTCTTGTGGATGGTATACTGAAAACATATATCAAAAGTTAAAAAACTATGCACTCTTTCTGAACCAGCTATTATATTTTTAAGAAATTATGCAAAAGATTTAAAAATACACAAAAAATGAATGGGTGCTATGTACCAGAGCCCAGCTTTAATGGAAAGAAACTGAAAACCAAAACATGTATCATTAGAGAGTTCATTAAATGAAAACTTATACTGTCAGTAAAAATTAGTTGCAAAACATTAAGTGAAAAAAACTAAGACTAAGGATGTGAAGGGCGTTTGGATGGCTCAGTTGGTTGAGCTTCCGACTCGATTTTGGCTCAGGTCACGATCTCGCAATTTGTGAGACTGAGACCCCATGACAGGCTCTGAGCGGGCAGCACGGAGCCTGCTTGGGATTCTCTCTACCTCTCTCTTTGCCCCTCCCCAGCTCGTGCACTCTCTCTCTCAAAATAAATACATGAACATTAAAAAAAAAGGCTATGATGAGACCAATATTTTAAAATATAGGTATATATAAAAAGAAAACAAGAAGATTTAAATAATGTGTTAATAGTGCTTAAGTGAGTTATTCCTTTAATTGCATTCTTGTTTTTTTAATTTTTCATCAATAGCCATATGAGATTTGTAAACAGAAAAAGTTTAAAATTTATGTTTAAAATAACAATTGTTAATTGACCAAGAAAGATGATATCACATGATGCCCAACATTTTCTTTTATCCTACCAAACTGTCCTGTGCAGTTATTAAAGTTATTTTGAATTTAATATGGGTAAAGATATCATTTGTTAGGAATAACTTCCACACAAGGCTTCTAGAAGATCTCAAACAATAAGTTTTATGATATTGCTGTAACATAAAAGAAAGCTAGAGCAGAAGAGAACAAGTTCTCAATTTATACACATAGGCTAGATAAGAAACAAATGTAGGATGAAAAATTTTCCAAGAAATTACATATTGTATATATCCTTAAGTTATACTCAGTCCTTGGCCTCTGAATCCACTTCCCAAGTTATCCTTCACAATCGCCAAGGCACAATCAGTTCACTACCCACAGCGTACCAGGTGCCAGGTGACACAGTAGTGAGCCAGGAAAGTTGGGTGTGTGGAAAAAAAAACCCACTAAAAACAAAATATGGTGAAAGAGGAAAAGAGAAATCACATAAGCTCAAGATTTCAAAAACACCAAACAAGTGTACCTTTAGATATGTAACACTAGCACCATCTGGTGGATGATCCATTAGAAACAATTCAATTGCCAGTTTAAAAAAAAAAAAAGAAAAAAAAACCTTTATTGATTTATTAGAAAAAAAAATTCTAAGCCTTCTTTCAAAATCTGAGCATTTTCCAAAGCCAATCAGCCTAGGAAGGGTACAGTAATCACACAGAGGACCCATCAGAAGCCCCGGGGCACTTAAAATGTCTACCAAAGATCTAGGTATTCCCAGGTGGACATCCTATCATATCTCAGCCACACAGCAAGGTTTCAACAGTACAGAGTTCCCTCGGCTACCTTTCCTGAAGTGCCCCATGCCACATCAGATGAAAAGAACACTTTCCAGCCACAAAAGAAACCCCAAAAAAGAAGACCGAAGTTAGCAACTATGGAACAGAACTTGAGTCTGAGGTTCCTCAGGGCACCAGTGACCTAGCCTTCCACGCTATAAACAAACCAACATTGTTTTGAGGCTATTTAGCATCAGAGGTTTATGTTCACAAGGATGCTCAGTCTCTACAGTGGACCAGCGTGTCAAAATATTACACTGAAATCCCTGGTACTGCTGGCAGTGGGACAGTCAATGATGGAGATGGCAAAAATCACTGGTGTCTTCAAATGCTATTGTAGGGGAAAGCAAATCAGCCAAGTGAAAGACAAAGAAGATGGAAAGCTTGTCTCCCGTTTTTTTGTTTTTTTTTAATGTTTATTTTTTGAGAGAGAGAGAGAACAAATGAGCAGGGGAGGGGCAGAGAGAGAGAGAGACAGAATCCAGAGCAGGCTCCAGGCTGAGCTGTCAGCATGGAGCCCGACGCAGGGCTCAAACTCACGAACCGTGAGATCATGACCTGAGCCAAAGTCAGATGCTTAACCGACTGACCCACCCAGGCGCCCCTTGTCTCCCATTTGTAGGCTGGATCCCTCAACTGAGGTAGAAGCTACTTCTGACCAAGAATGGCACCCGCAGAAATTATCATCTCCACTACTCTCCACAGTAAGCATCCCTTTCATTCTCTCTCTTCCTTCCCTTCACCATCTGCTTTCTCTTTTAAAAATCCCTCCTTTATTTCTTTTCCCCCCATCTATGTTTGAGACCAACATGAAGTTGTTACGAGTACAGCATGATCCCACAATGGGAGCTCAAGAAAAAGTTCCCACGGGAGCAACCACAAGGCCTGGAGCCTACATCATGTCAGACTAAACAAAAGGGCAGGGTCCCCAGACTCCAAGAGAAGAAAATCGGGCCCAAAGAGAGGAGCAATAACTGCGGAAGAAACTGTTTTCTGCAGCAGTACTGGAAACATTCCATGCTCACTACTGATGAGACACAAAAACTACAAAGGCAGGGAATAATGACCTGATTTTATAGTGAAAACATCCTTTGGTCAACATTTTGAAATGTATAGATTTAAAGAACATGACGTCAACCTACCTGCCAAGTTCCCCCTGCCCCATACACCAAAAAGTATGCTTCTCCTGATTCTTATATTTAACTCCAAAATCGTTCATTGACTCAATATGTATTTGTTCATTCTTTTTCAAACACAAGTCTATTCAGATTAAATTTGAGAGCTGCACAGAGAACTGTGTAGAATTTTCTTAAAAAGGGAAGTCTGCTCCACTAACTCATCCTTTTACCTTTTCTACTTTATATACATCTATGGGAGTTTATCCACTAGTAAATATGAGGAGTCCAGATTGCTAAAGCATAGACTGTTTAGAATGAAACTTACTATAAAATATTTTATTCCTTTATTTATCTACCCAATAACAGAAGTCAGAGGCTTCTGACTGAGCTGGGTGGCTCAGTGAGTTAAGTGTCTGACTCTTGATTTAGACTCAGGTCATGATCTCAAGGCTGTGACATCGAGCCCCATGTTAGGCTCCATGCTGGGCAAGAACATGCTTAAGATTCTCTGTCTCCTTTTCCCTCTGCCCCTCCCCGTTTCTCTCTCTCTAAAGAAACACATACAAAACAAAACCCCAAAGAACTCAGAATGGAAATTACCAATTTAGAGAATATTCTAATATTTGCTAATAATAGTAAGTGTTCAGTAATGCAATACTAATTATTAGAAGTTTTAAGGAAGAACAATAACAAAAAAGGAGAGAAGCAAAGGAAATGAGACAATGAAAAGTAAAATAATAACAATAATTAAAAGGAGACAGTCTGAGACCTACTTTGCCAGCAGGTAGTAGCCCAATTCTTTCTACCCACAGAATAAAGTTTTGGAAACAGCAATGGTTTGTGTTACATTCCCTAATACTCTTCTAAATATTACCACTGACAATCTCAGTGAATTTCATTAACGACACACATTGATTTTCATATACTGTTACCCATTCTTCCTTTGCTCCCTTCTCATACTTGTTTTATTCCTAACCCTCCAAACCCCTACTTTCCCCTGAAGTGAATTTATACCTTGGCAGAAGTCATTACCCCCACCCCCACCCCCATTACGGGAGACCCTAACTATGAACTTCATTTTATACATTCACCAGCTAGCAGCCTGCAGTTTGGATTGCCAAGCCCTATTCTGGAACAGCCTCAACTCTTTCTGGCCACCCAGATAATGCTGGGGAGGAAAAAAAAGAAAGAATAGAAAAGAAAAATCAAACCTGAACACACATGTCATGCATAAATAAGACCACTACTCTAGATCAACCAATTTTCTAATCATGGTTTTTAAAGATACACTGAACAGATGGAGAGAGAGCATGAATTTCAGTTCGGCTCACTGCTCCATTTACTTCTTTATCTATAGTCAGATCTTTACTTTTTTGGGATCACTGCACATTTCTGGCTCTGCTACATTATACTGTGTAAATATTTAGGAGAAATAATTCCTTTCAAGGATCTAAATTTCCACTGTCGTTATGGCAAATGAACCTGTTTATGCTATGTTTGTTAAGTAACAGCAAGCCTAGAAGAACACAGGAATTTACTAACATATGTGGTATACAAACATCACAATCATAAAGCTTCTCATGGGGACATAGCAAGAACATGAAAGGCCAGTTTATTTTTATTCCCACTGCCCTGTAATTTTCTTTAGCTCTACTACAACAGTCCTTAATTCAAGCCTTCCCTGCAGTTACAGGAACAGGGTAGGCTGAATGTACACAAACCATACTCAAAACTATCCTCATCTCATCTGACCTTCCTTGATTCCAGAACAATGGTCCTCAAACTTGATCCTGCATCAGAATGTACTGCAGGCTATTAAACCTTAGGTGGCTGGGCCCCTCCCCTGAGTTTCTGCTCCACTGGGGCCAAGAATTTGCATTACTAAGAAATTATCCAGTGGTGCTGGCACTGCTAGTCCTGGGACCATACTTTTTGGTTTAAGGTTTTACTGTGGTATGATTTACAGTCCACAAAATTCACCCATCTTAAAGAGTATAATTCAACGACTTTCAGTAAATGTTATACAAGCATCATCACAATCCAATTTCAGAACACTTTCATCCCCCAAAGATAGTGTGTGCCCATTTACAGTTTTCATTCCCACCGCCAGCCCCAGGCATCCACTTTCTATTTTCTGTCTCTATAGATTCACTTCATCGGGACATTTGTCATAAACGTTATCATAAAATATACGGTCTTCTGAATCTGGCTTCTTCACTTACGATGCTTTTGACCTTCTTCCATGTTGTAGCATCAGTGTTTCCTTTTTATTGCTGAACAGTATTCCATTGTTCTAGATATACTACATTGTATTTATCTATTCACCAGTTGATGGACTTTGGGGTGGGTTCCAATTTTCTGGTATTAAGAATAATGCTACAGGGAGCTTGGGTGGCTCAGGCTCTTGATTTCCGCTCAGGTCATGATCTCGCTGTTTTTGAGATTAAGCCCCCCTGTTGTGCTGCAAGCACAGAGCCTGCTTGGGTTTTCTCTCTCTCTCAGGAAAACAAAACAACAACAAAAGAAGAATTCGTCTTTACGTCAGACATACGTTTCATTTGGACAGATTCCCAGGAGTGGAAATGCTGAAGTACAGATTTATGCCTAATTTTAAAAGAAACTGCCTAGGTGCAATTAATGACAGCTCCAGTTTATTCATTTCCTTGATACTTGTTATTGTCTGTCTTTTCTACTAAAGCTATTCTAGTAGTTATCATGTGGTATCTTTTTACTTGTAGTTTAATCTACATATCTTTAATTAATAATGATGCTGTGCATTTATTCAACGTATTTGTTGGCCTTTCCTAATCTTCTTTAGTGAAATACCTATTCAAATCTGTTGCCTATTTTTAATTGGCTTGTCTCCTTGTTACCGAATCATAAGTGTTCTTTATGCATTATAAATACAAGTCCTTTATAAGACACGTGACTGGCATACATTTTCTTCCAAATTTTGGCTTCCCCTGTCATTTTCTTAATGGTCTTTTGAAAGACAACAGTTTTTAATTTTCATGAAGTCTAGGACTATACTTTGAGAACCACTGTTCTAAAGCCTCAAAAATTCAAAAGAAATAACAAACCCTTGAAAAATGTGAAAGCGTAGTGGTTTCCCATCTGCATAAGCAAATGCGTAACTGTCACTCACATCCGCTTTTCCATGGTGTTTGGTTTTAGCAAAGCCTCTCACAACTATCATCCTAAATAGATTTACCATTTTCAGGAAAAGAGAATTTGCAACTAACTGGCTTTAACATATTATGGAGTGAATAAATTCAGCTGCAAATGGGCCTGAGCTATCAACTGGGAACACTGGAAGGAATGTCACCACTAAAGAATATGAACTTCTGAGCCAGTGTTTTCAGAGTCACTGATCAGTCCTATGGCTTTTAACACCGTGCTTAAAGATGTAAGAAATATGTCCACTCTACAAATTAATGGGAACAAAGACAAATGGTGCACCACAGTAGAGATTGTCAAGAAAAGAGCATTCCCTGAAAGTTTCATTTATCTTTATATTTTTGTCTGATTTTATTAGCCTTCTTCACTTAAGGGCCTTTTAAGATCATTCATATATCATTACAGCTCTTTCTTTCTTGAAAAGCTATTGAACTTTAAATCAAGAGGGGCTAAAGATGGCAACCAAAGTTCTAATCTTGTCTAGAACCATAACTTGCAAATGTATGAAACATATTTCAAGAACGTATAGGGTAGGTTTAATTCAGGTAGAAGAATAGTAAGATTAGTAGTTGCTAAGGTGAAACCAAAATACTACATGTTTATCCCTTGATGATTACCCAAAAAGTAAAATCATAAGACTAAGAAGTTTATACGAACATTGTTTCTATAACCATGACCCGAGATACATATTCTGTGACTTTATGGAAAAACCCTAAAAATAGGAAGGATCCAATTAAAAGACAATCCATTTGCAACACAAGTCCTGTATATAATTCAAGTTAACCTAGAATGTAAAACAAGAAGCTTTGATTACTATAGAACTACCAGGCTTCCACTAAAATGATTTCAAATATTTATGTTTCGATGCATGGATACTATTGATAACATAAAAGCCATACATCCTCACTGCCTTCCAATTGCTGGAGATGGATTTTAGATTTCTACTGATTTCCATATATTACACTACAAGGAACAAGCCTATTGGTCAATATTCATTTTCCCTTTTCCACGGAGCCACTTAAAGCCACTTAAATAGAAGTTGTCTGAAGAGATGCCAGAAGATGTAGTTTCCCATGTGACCCACAGCTTCTCAACATGGTCTGGCTCCCAATAACTTCACTTTTAGGCATCTTCTCATCCAACCCTTTTTTTTTTTTTGGTTTTGGGTTTTTGTTGTTGTTGTTGTTTTCTTAAGTTTGCAATTAAATAACTGGAGTCAGTGGAACTTCTCTCCTAAATTATACCAAGTTAGGGTATCACCATCTCTGTGATGTTACTAGACTTGAGATCCAACATAAATATCAAGATATGAGAAATAGAAGAGTTTATGCAATAGCACACAGCCAATTATGATTTATCCATAAAACTGAAAGGTAAGCATAAGCAAAATATAATAGCATTTTAAGCTT